TGTCACTTTCAGTCACGTTTTGTTAATTTCCATGTCTCCGAACTATACAACAATACATTTACACATTCGTTTTGTCTGTTTATGTAAATTACTTGCACCCAATAGGGAATTCAATTTACTGATGGCTTGCTTTGCCTGAAAAATGCTCTTTTACTAAATAGATGTAGTTTTGACAGGCTTCGACTACTTGTCCGTCAACATTCAAATTGTACTCTTATTTAGTGTTATCATCATATACTCGAGGTCATATGAGACACCCGGAGGATTTGGTCATCGGCGAATAGAAGGATATGAAGAAAACTGCTACTTTATCCAAGCAGATAATGGGGCAATTATTTTTTTCTTTATTAAATTAAAAGGAGTTAGGCCTTGGCTCCTTCATAGGCCTAATTATTCTGGATTCGATACCTCTTTATAAAATATCAAATAGCTTCTGGAGGGGAAATGAAATACATTTTAAATGGTTTGCATTTCTAGTTAGTGAAACGGTTTGAATTCAAGTTAAACCGTGCAATAAAAACGCATTCGCGAAGATAAATGAAAGAATATAAACAAGCACTTAATTGAAAGATGCGTTCATTTTCAGTGGCGTGGGGTAGGAACTAGGTAGAAGTATCGCTGATCTACCGACTACTTTAAATATTTCTCAAAAAATTCAACAAAGTTCCCTTAAAATTATGTATTTTAAAACTTTAATTTTATTAAAGAAAAACAAAACGTAGACACCGATTTTTATCTCAAATCTCTTCAAGTATTATTGCCAGTTTCCAAATTAATCGCTCAAGTGAATCTTTCAACGATTTGTTATACCCATTTAAGCTTAAGCTTTCTTCTGAACTAACTTGTTTTAGGCCAAATCAGTCTCAATGTTCCTTGTAACAAGTTAAAATATTTATTGACGTTTTACCTTTAAAAGTAAAATTCAGTTTACTTAAAATTCTGAAACATATTGTTCTAATATTATTATAGTTTTTTGTTAGGTATTCATTGCCGGTAATTCTTTAAAATCGTGTGCACGCCACTGTCCACAAAAACATGCTTCGAGATATTAGGGTTAACTCGTCAATTATGAAAGTGTGACACATTTAGTAATCGCTCATTAATTTCGGCCGTCGGTCGGTCATGAAAAAATATTACTAAAATTGTATTTACGCGAACCCACTGGTACCAACCAAAACAACTCGTGATTTTATTTAACGCCATTAAATGATGAGAATCATACGACAAATACATAAATCCCGACAAAAATCAAATTATAGGTAGACACAAAATGATCAATAGCTTTAATTTAAAGTGATAACAGGAGAACATAATTTGATTTAAAATGTTACTTGGAATAGAGACAAAGTATAGAAAAATATGAGTTGACATATAACCGAGCTACAAAGGGTGACTAAAAATGCCAGATTAGCAAGTAATTAAAAATCCAAGATATTATTTCTGTTTGTGCCTCCTTTCAATTCAGCCTTGGGACGCGAAAGCCTAAAGACTAAAATAAACAATATAAAATGGGACATATTATACACTGGGCACTTAAAAAGTCAACATTATAGTTTAGACTATAAATTCGTTATACAAAAAGTATCAAAATATCAAAAAGTCTAAGAAAAAGTAATTTTTCGCGATATCTTGACAAGGTGGCAAATGCGTATAGACTGAACATTCTAGACGTACCAGCTTCCCGCTCTCAGCTTTGTGAATGAAACAGAATTAGGTTTTGAATAAAAACCTACTTGTATAGGTAATTATAGATAATTCGTATGTATTTGGAGTGATCGCATTTTCTATTAGGACTAATGTGCTTTTATTGCACCTAAATAAACAAAACGTTATAATAATAATATTTAATCTTTATATTTTTAAAATCCATAAGTCAGTCTCCCGATGCTGTGCCCTACAATACTAATTGGTTAGGTGTTTTATCGCGGTCGAAAGGTAATTTTAACAGTTGCCGGCAAAAGCCAAGAAGATATACTTTGAGACAGACATCTTAGGCCTAATATTTAGGATATTTTTTTTAATCTTTCCTCTCAAAAGTCAAATAAAATGAAACTCGCTCAGCGTTCGCTCCGAAGGTAATATTTACGCAAAACATTAAAGGGAAATGATGATTTCTAAACTTGGCGACCATACAAACTTCTACTAGTGAAAATTAGCCAGATGAATTTGCCAAATTCCCGACTTAATTTGAACTCGCAAAAATGTTAATAAATAAGAAGTCTCCCGACTCATTGCTGTGAGGGACTCGACAGCGCCAAATCGGCTAAGCCTATTAATTATTGAATACGTCACCCGCTACACGTTCATGAATATTGCATCAAGGATTGGTCACACAGGGCCGAACAGTTCCTACTAGCTTCGACAACATTCATCATCAGCTTCATAAATTGTAAATTTGTACTTATTCGATTACAGCTGACTGAAAGATTGATTGCACCGGGTCGAACATTCGGAGACTAAGTACGAAAACAATGGAAAATCATCCATCGTCAAATCTTCAAGGATTGTGAAGTTTTTCGGTTAAATTATCGGCAGAGCATTCTAGGTCGAAAGACAAAAACTACACTTTTTGCTATAAAGGGTCTTCGTATGAAGATTACTCTCATCCGTACTACACAAAATATAGGTGATGGTTTTAAAGGGGGAAAATATTTTTTTCTTCTGCCTACCTACTCTAAAATTATACATAAGATCAAGCCTGCTGAAAGTGTCACTTTGAAACGTGACACAATGAGGTATTTGACCCTAATTTCGGATCAAAATTGATTTTTTATAAGTATAAGTATAAGTTTTTTTATAAGTATAAGTTTAATATAAGTATATGTAAGGAAAATATTAACAAACTAAACATCAGCAATACATATATGATTTACAGTTTTATTTGAATCAAGATATTTATTTTGTTTTTCTGAATTACAATTTAGTCAAAGTGTGAGAAAGAAGGAAATGAATTATTTGTAAAATTTTCGAAATTTTTAATACTTTATATTTTCTGCATGAGTTTTAGTCCCCCAATGTTAAATTTAAAAAACTATAATCATACAGAATTTTAGTTTGGTTAGTTCATGATTGTGTTCAGCAACGGCTGATGAACTTAAAGACTCATTCATTTTCTGTTAGACTAGGTGATATTCTTTGTCCTGTCTCTCCAATGTATTCTTTGCCGCATTTGCATCGACTGCCGTAAACTCCTGGTGACTCAAAAGGAAATTTTGTCTTTGATGGATCGAAAATGATAAGATTTTTGCAAAAGTGGCAAATCTGGTTCTAATATAATATTGTGATTGATTTAAATGTAGGGACCACAATGGCAAATGTGGGGTTGCTTTCTGATTCATTTTTATCGGAAGGTTGTCGTGAATTGTATTTTGAGCACATGTTATAAATAAGTGCTTTAATTTGGGTTGAGATAGTTTTACGTCCGTATAAACGAGATAGTTGAGGACCTCTGGACCGGATGGCGATGGAAATGCATTAAAGTATCGGTTGGTGTACGTACGTTTTTGTGTAATCCGAATATCTAACAAAGTATTATCAAAAGCTTCGATAAATATAGTTGCTATAATTGTTAGCAATGGAGAACCCATAGATGTTCAAGAAAAAATGTGTTCTAGGCAAACATTTTTCAATTAAGATTTTAATGGGTTCTCTCTTTAGCTCCGCCTTCCTCAAACAGTATACAAACCGGTACAGAGTAGAATGCGAGCCAGTTTCAGTTAAGCGCTGAAGAATCCAACAGGATGGTTGACGAAACTTCGGCAAGTTCTATTCATAAATAACCGACGAAGAAGGAATCCAGAAGACTTGTAAATAGTAGTGAAAAGTTATATTGTCCAAATATTTTTTTTAAGATTCGGACATTTTATTACTATGATAACAAACCAAATAAATAACTTATTTGTTGGAAATATTTCTTTCAGAGTCAGAACTCTTACTAGTATCATAGTATTTAAATAAGATTTACTAACTAATTAAGTAAAAAAAATGAAAAACTTATCTTGTTGTTCGGTGGTTGAAAAAAATATTCTGAAGTCAGTTAAGGCGTTAATCGTCCTGCTGTTTCTTAAATATTTTTCTATGGAGGAGCCTTTACATTGAGAGTTTTCCGATTATATTTAACTTTTATATATTTTATACATATATTTTACTCTTATACAAACCTTTATCGCGAATGTTGTTTTTTTAAAGCAAAGATTTAACAGCTCTTTTACTATTAAAGAATGGATGTGTTTATGAAAAATTCTAATTCTTTTATAGTCGACGTTTCGACAATTTTTTTGGGCCGATAACACAACGCAAACTACAAACAACTGCTACAAATAGCTAAATATCATAAAATTCCATATGTTAATGATTTTTCTAAACAAGCTCAGCCATGTCTTAACCATAGGAACAACAAAAATTGCTTTGAAATATGAGAACACCGCTCAAAAAAGGGTTTTTCGCCAATGCCAAGGAGTTTTTTGTATATGACAAATTGGGATACTGTAGTTCATCTAGTTCTGGGAACCCTACAAGAATTTGATTTTGATAGAGGTTCTATTTTCAATAAACAACCTTAAAAAAAGAACTTTAGAAGAGATGATATGCAGTAAAAATATGCCAAATTTCCTAAATAAAAGTACAGATATTTAAAATTTAAATGGGCATTATTCTAACATTAATATATTCTTGTAAATTGGTAACACTTGGACAAGTTAATTACTTTGACAACTATTAAGTGCAGAACATAGAAACAATTAAGGATTCGTTTCTAAATATATGTGATCTCCTTTATAGACCTCCTTAAGAATGCAATAAAATTGTCGACGCGTCTAACAAATAAGAATTCGATTTTTCATAAGCCTATCAATCCTTTTTTTTTTCTCTTAGGTTAGAAGAATATAACTTTTTTAAACAATGTTATATGCATCGGTCATGTTTATGGGCATCTCATTAAAAAACAGCTCACAGGGCAAAGTTTTCACCTAAAATATTATATATAATTCAAAAGCAACACGCTACTTTGAATTTATTATTAATTAGCAAGCACACTGACAATAGAGTACAAAAGTATAAGCCGCTTTTGTATAATTAAGAAATACAATAAACAAATATATGTAGTTACTTCTTTCTCAACGTTGTGCGTTCAGGAATGGCTACTTCATAAATTGGCTGGCCACCTTCGGAAACCCATACGCTGCCGTTCTCTCCTTGACTGATTATTTTAATCATTCCCTCAGCCACATTAGATACACTGTAAAGAAAATGAAACTAATTCAAATTTTGCAACGTAATTATAATTACGAGCATCTTTAACAACAAATAGCATTCGCAGTATTTTCAGCACTTAAAACCATAGTAAAAAAACATACTGCCAAATTGAAAATAATATCATTTTTCTTGAAGTAAGTTGCACTTCGTTACGCACTTAAAACCGAACGAATGCACTTAAAGACAGAATGAAAAAAGGGAAAAATGATTATCAATGGTTACTCTTATTTAAACAAAAACAAATTTCTGAATGTGCAAGTCAAAGCCAGTCATCTCTTCCGCAAGCTGCGAAACATTTGTAAAAGTTGAACTAAAAATTTAAAAACATAGATTTGCAGTTTTTTAGCTAGTCGCGAGTTTCTTGCCATTTTAGCCTTTACAACTTCCAGTTTTTCAGTCTCCCTATAAATGAAATATTAGTATTCTTGTTAATAGCCATTTACTCGTCGGATATTATTGAATACACTATTTTAAAAATTATTTTTACCACCCACTGGTATAGGGCTCCAGCATATATAGGGCTAATTTCAATGGTCGTTCGAGCCGGATGTTACTCTATTCGTTAAACTGTATCCCAAAACGAGGATGATTGGTAAATAACGATCAATTAAACCAACGGGAGGAGAAAAAAATGAAATAATCATCTAAAATGAGCCCGGTAATTGCTTATTATTGCACCCATGTTAACAGAGCAAGTACGTGAGTCAATTACGCCACTTATTTAATGGTTGCCGACCGTTTCAAATTTGTTTCTTCGAATAGAGCTGTTGTTGACCCGCCAAATTTTGTATCAGAGTTCGACTCAAATAAGTCTTAGTGATTAATTTAATTTAAATTACATTATTCTAGAAAATATTTTTTTGTTTTGACGATAAAAGGTGTATTGCCACACTTTTCGGATCAGAATTCACTTTATAATATGCCGGTAATAAAAATTTTCCCGACAAGTTAATAAGACAAAAACCATCATCTATCAAGTTAGTTATTTGTCATAGCACACGACAGTGACATTAAAAAAGATTCATTTTTTCAACCACAGCTACAGATATCAAAACAACTAAAAAAATCAAGCCTTAACAACAAACAGATCTTCAAACGGTAATATAAAATAATAAAATTCAAACTTTTAAAAATCTCCTTGTAGCTGAAAAATTCCATCACGTATCAAGATGAAGTTTACATATTTTGCGCTGTATACTCGTTTTCGGTTATATCTGCTGGAAATACCGAATACTTCGAAAAACATCAACTAAAATCACTCTGTTCATACTAAAAATATAGAAAATAATTTAAATAACAGGATTGGGTTGTTTTAATTTAAATATTTTCATAAACCCTTTCGTAGTTAAAGCTTTATTCTTATTGCTGTACATTTTCGATACGTACAAAAAACATAGAAAATAATAAAACAAAAAAAGTAAAACCAACGGGAAAAATAGAAAACAACGTTTTAAATTGAAACGAGCTTAAGCAAATCCAAAATAAAACATAGCAGAAAAATATTGAAATTATAGTTTCGCAGTGCAAAGTTTTAGAAACGACATTTTAATTTTGACTTTATTTAGCCACGAACGGAGTGCAGCGGAGCGGGTGGTTCAAATGACTGTCTACTCGCCACTTTAAAATACCCAAACAGTGATTAGGTGTTCGCAGCTATCGCCAGCCACTTCGAGCGTTTCCAGAAATTTAGTGAGTAATTATCTACAAATTATCGTTCAAAAAGTATATTGTCCAACCGGTTTGACTTCTTCACAGACTCGTTTATTAAACACTCGCTTCGGTAAGCTTCGTTCCTGCCAATGTCAGTCATACATTCAATGAGGGACCTGATGAATACAACAGGAACGTCAAAATATCATCAAAGTTTTAAATATCTACCGAAAACATCCCACTGCTGCTCCCGACCCGTAACTAAAGTACTAAAGTGACGTGACAAAAGTGAAACTTTGAGCACGCCTGGATCAGTGCCTAATTGGGTATTTTGGAGTAAATGGGGAGTAGAAAAAAATGTTCACGGGTGAGATGTTGCCGGGAATCAAAACTATTTAATCAATAATGATTATTTGAAAACCCGAAACTATTTGCCGAAATTTTCGAACCCGGAGTCGATCAATCAATTCCTAGGGATTATTTTTATACCATCGCGAGGCTAAGTGATTGATTGACTCGAAACACGAAGCACCAAACTGCACATCGACGAAGACTTGACATGCTCTGATATTGGCAAATATCTTATGATGCATAAAGTCGACTTTGCTCCGAACTTTTACATTTATTACGGGCATCGAGATATTCCGGACCGCGTCCAAATCGATACGCCTTAGAGGAGCCGACATTCTTTAGTAAATATTGGGCTACCGCATGCTCTTTTATAAAGTTAATGCGCTTTGCAATATTAGATGGCAAAAATACGTTGACAGTTGACATTACTCATACTCGATATTTTACTTTCATTGACTTGTATATAGGATGTCAGAATTTTTATAAAAGCTTATTTAGGGGTAGGTATAGGGTGGAACGTTTATTACGGGAGAATACCTTATCTCAGAATGAAAAAAATATACAAAAAAAACTCATAGGCAAAAGTTGTTTGGATCCACTTATACTTTTAAAATATTATATATATAGGGTGTTTGTATTTTCGCGAACAAGTAACAACAATGCTGTTTTTTGTCCATATGCATTTTTTCAACAAATGCCTAAATGTTTTTGATAAAGTTTTTCCATTTTAAAAAGTTAAAGAAATTTAAAAACTTTTGTGTTAATAACTTAAATACCACAATTTATAAAAAAAATATTGGTAAATGGCGGGTGCCACTTCTATAGTGCTTATTATTTGTTTCTACCGTATTCAGCATTTGTACAATGGGAAATTATTTTTTTGCTAATATTTCGATACCGGCAGCTTATTGAAATAGGAAATCTTATACAAAGTCATCCACTTTTTAAGCGCTGCCTGCAACTGAAGTTGAGTTCCATACCCTTCCAAAGTTTATATGGAAAAAAGTAGAAAACTCTGAACGATGGTGATTTCAGTTAAACTGGGCCAAAATTGCCAGAAAATTTTCATCTTTATTTGTTTTCTAAAATGTATTAAAACTGGTTTGGTTATTTTGTTCTCAATGCTCTCAATGAACCAATTAAATCCGCTTCTTCACTTTTATCACGCTCAAGAACTCTATAAGCGCTTCAGTGATTTTCCTTGACGTTTATTAGAGGATACAAATGTATACTTTGTATTTGATAAAATAAACGTTTATATTGTTATTATCATTAAATTATAATGACAAAATTATATATTCTGCAACAAGTTTGGTAAACGCCACGTTAGTCACCAGTTTGATTTAATTTTATTAAACCAGTGACCAGTAAGAAGTTTATCACTTTTTTCTATGACTATTTGGGTACATTGTTACAAAACGGCAAGAATACATTTCCGGAGTGACATTTGACGTGACCCTCCAAACTGAAGCAAAGAACAAAAAGGTTGTTTGTAACGATTCCTGTAGTGTATAACAATTAAATTAAAAAAAAATCTTTTTTCGAATTTGTTTAAATTTAAAATTGAAATAAATTTACAATTTTTTAGCAACAATTTTTTAGTGGTAGTTAGCGTCAACTCTAAGATAAAGGAAGTTATAGAATCTATAATACCTTTGTGCCGGTAGAGATCCAAGTTCTCCGGCTAGTAACTTGCCCAAGTCTGGGAATCCTTGCAGAGCGAATCTTCCAGCTTCGGAAATCAAGGGAGTATCGGTAACCCCAGGGCACATGGTCACAAATTTCACTCCGGTAAGGTCGTAGTAGTAGGGTGTACCGAACGAGGTTGTCAATCCGACCACGAAATGCTTGGTGCCGACGTAAATTGGACATCCGGCCAATTTTTGGAGGCCCAAGATCGAGGCGATATTCGCTATCACGCCCCCATTACCGCCGTTGTTTTTACCCAAATACTTGAGGCCGAGCAAGCTGCCTTCGACCACCCCATTCTGAAATTACATTTGATCGGTTTAAGGGTCGGTTGATCCATTATAAATGTTACCCCCTCCAACTTTTTTGTGGGAGTATTTAAAAAAATATATTTTGGGCGGCAGGACAATATAGAGGACATAAAAGAACTGTTTAAGAGTAAAATAAAATATATTAATGATTTGCTTCCTAACCAAGGTATGAACTGTGTATTCGGGAAAATGTGGGAAAGTGGGCTTGACGCCATGTTGATGGGCATGATATATGGCACTTAGTGACAATTATTTTTGCCAATTCTGGCATTACTGTAACAAATAACTATAACATGTTATATATTTATGATGTCAGAGTAAAAAGACCTTTCTTTTAAAGAAATAATATACAGGGTTCCAATTTTGAAATCTTATTTGTCATACTATTTACAAAACTTCTGGATTCGTCCTGCGTCGGTTGTTGTTTGGCCAATCATCCTGTTGGCTTCTTCAGAGCTTAACTGAAACTGTTTCAATTAAGCTCTCTTTTTTCATGTAAAATAAAAAACGTTAGAGGAGGTGCTAACATTTATAATAAATCACTACTTACAGAAGAGTGCATAAACTATGACAAATCAAAAAAGCACAGAAATGCAAAACATCAGAACATAGTTTTGGTTAGTTTTAAACAACTTTGCAATTGTTTGTTGTTGTTAATATTTGTTGTAAAAAATAACTTCGCTGTAATTATTGTTTTATAATTATAAATTTAAACCGTATGTTAATTCAAATTTCTCGAGATGATATTTTTATATAGACATATAAAAATACTAGCATTTTTATATGGACATACTTCACTAATAATACCTAATGCCAGATATAATTCACATCATAAAGAAAGTCATTTAAATCAAAAATACGACTTATAAGAAGGATGAATTGTTTTCTACATTGAATACATACCTGGATTTATGTTGTTAAATGTTCCTTTCGCATGTTATAAGAGAAAAACGTGCTCAAAAAATGAAACAAACCAAGAGGAAAGAAAACAAAAGCACTAAGTGAATCAAAATTATTTTTCGGTAAATGTCGCTCTTAGGTTAGACGATTGGACGATCAAGATTATTTTTTAATAATACAATTTTTCTAAGAAATTATAGAACAGTTTAAAAAATAATTAAAGTAAAACTCACACAATTTAAAGCGATTTCTTTCTCCCAGTCGGCATCGTACATAATACCCGCGTTGTTGATGACAATGTCTAAACGGTTAAACTTGGAAAACGCTTTCTCGAACCCATCTGAAACAATTACAATTATTATTAATTTACTTGTGAGTGCGGGGGTCGCTCGCTGGTATTGAAACAGTAGAGAATATAAAATCTGTTGATAGATGAAATGATTTAAATATCAGTTTGTGATTGCATATATTGTTTTGATCATTTCGGCGGATCACATACGATTCCCGACCACAAAATTGATACCGATGCAAACAGCTGCCACCATGCAGTTAAATTGTTTAATATTAATAGAAAACACAAGTAAGACATGAATGTCAATTCTCACAGTTGGTCGGAGTCATTTTATCCCTTTGTTCTTAATTGTGCACATCCATATTTTAAAAACGGCTCAAAGGATTCAAGTATTTCATTTCAACTAAATTTATCCAAAAATATCTGTTAGTAATATTTGTATTTATAACTATGTTTTATAGAATTTAATAGTCCATCGAACAACAAAGCAGTGGCCTCATGCTCGGGGGGTATTACTTAACCTCTCTGAAAAAAGGAAGAAGACAAATAAGACGAAAATATAGTTTTTATTTCGGTTTCAAATCCATGTTGAAAAAATAAAAAAATTACAAACTATATTCTGGTGATATTTCAGCATTAAAAAAATTAAATCAATTAAAAAAAGAAGTTTTCTTTTTCGGAAGAATACTCTTTGTGTAGTATTTGGGAAAACAAAACAAAAAAAAAACATTTTTTGATCTGTGACGATAATTGTGGGACACTCTATAGTTAAAACTGAAACAATTTTGTTTCTTTTTTACATTTAGTTTGCTTTAAAAACATTTTTTTCTTGCCGAAGGAAGCACGCATAGATCTATTACATATTACCGTACTACGATGTGACTATATAAATACAAGCTAGCGTTATAATAAACTTTATTATCTTTAAATAATTTTTTTTCTTGTGCGTTTTTATTCTGACAAGGAAACAGAATTGGTCAATTTTGCAGACAAACTTGATCCATTCCGTTGGGAATGTTTCTCGTTAAAGATTTACTCATTTTACACAAGTAAAACTAAGACCCTTGACAACATTGGAAATTTAAATGGGACACCATATATATCAGTATATTATGAGTAATTTTTGTTAACATTTCCTTATTCCTTTCCCTTACTTTTTTGTAGTTTTGCATAAGTTAGCTATTCCAAAATTTAACATAAATAGATTTGTTTGGATCACCAATAAGTGACTTTGATGTTAAGTCAAACAGGGTGTCCAAAAACTTACATTTCTGAAAAAAATTATTAAGAGCGAAAAATCATTTTTTGTAAATGTAACCTATAATATTTTACATTACCACGTATTAGTGGTATGACTAATAAATAAATATATTGTATTTGTATATTACCAAACGCAAAAAGATATTAACTTTAATAAATTGGTATTTTTCTGCAAAAAAATCAAAAAACTAACTAATATACATATATGGTGTTCCATTGGTTAGTCGAATTGAAAAAATATTGAGCGGGAACATAGTTTCGTGAAATTCGATCAAATTTTGAAAAAAAAAATTTTTTGGATTTTTCTCGTCATATTGAACTCACCGACTAGATCCTGCTTCTTGGTAACATCGGTCAAAATAAAAATGGCTGCCTCGGCGCCGTATTCTTGGTTGATTGCTTCGACCACCTGGCTACCATCCTTTCTCAGGTCCAGAATGGCGATGCCCTAAGATGTGAGGTTTTTACAGTTCTAACATTTCTGGTTCTTGAACGTCAACGGTCTTGTAAATTCGCAAGCGACGTAATAAATTAAACTGGTTAAATATTCACGTGCGGGAATTATTGCGAAAGTTCGGTGAATTTTATCCGCTTGTTTTGATCGTTGAGTGTGTTTTGGATGCGAGCCAGGACCGTGCAGAAAACACACAAGTATTCCAGTAAAACATTCGAATAAATGTAAAAAAGTTCTTGACATTCAACTTGAATTTGCGTTCCCGCAAATATGGCCGCATTAATTTTCGGTTTGGTGAACTCTAATTATAATTAGCCAGTTATGGTTGAATTCACAAGGGTACCAAATTGAACAAATCAAAGATTGGTTCAGATTTTTAAATGCCGACCAATTTGATTACATGCAAACACGAGAGTACAATGTCTCAGTAGGTTGAAATCATATGGTGAACGTTGTTTAATAATTTATGACTAAATATGAATTTTATTCGAGAGTTGACAAATATTTTTAAAAGTTGAACAGAACTAGTACTTTCAAATATAAAAATACATCAATTTATATTGAAAAAAATAGGTGTGCGTGTTTAACATTATGCCTATTTTAAATGCACAAACAGTATTTCGGGACCTGATTTTTTTTTCTTATTTAAAGGAACTTAAGATTCCTTTAATTCCATTTCTCTATGCTATGTGTAAAAGAGAGACCAATATCTACAAAGAAGTACAGTACATCATTCATTGAGGGCATACCAAAGTACCAAATACTTTAGAACTTCACTTGCCGATTCAACAAATTTGCTTATTGATATCGTTAAGTTAAATTCTCTTGCAACCTTGTATTCTTGTATTTTTGAATTTCCAAATTATACTTGTGAGGCGACTGTCTTAATCTATGTGATAATGTGGTCATAGAAAACAAATGTAAATTAACTTTAAATTACAGAAAATTTATATATTTTTTTTCGAATTGTGATACACATTTATAAACTTTTTTAATGATGGTTTATTTCGTAATGTAATGAAACTTCCGAATGAAAAGCATTTAGAATTTTTTTATCATTTTACTGTAAGCAAATGTAGATGATTTTTTTAAGTACAAAAGTACAAATCAATATGTTTATCGATACTTGATAAAATCGTTTATAATTTATTTCGATAAAAAGAAACGTCATATTTTTTGCAAAATCTTGTGATTAGCTTGATAAAAAAGAGTAGCAAGAAGGATACCGCCGCGACTAGTTCCCGAAATATACATAAACGTTTAAAACAGTGTAATTTCAAATGTACAATCCTTTTCGCAGTAAGAAAGATTAAACAATCAACCGAGACCATGCAAGGCAAGAATATTCAAAGAATATATTTTTATTATCGTGTTATACGCTCTTGTCAAAATTATTATGTTCTGTTTTTCAATGCCAGAGAGTTCTAAATCATTATTGAACTGTGGTCTTAGTATTCTATAGACATATAGAATATATTGTTGCTATGATGATTGTCAAGGGTCCCGACAGTGGCAAATAGACAGGTTTTTTTACGCTTTCTTAAAATGCGAAATTTATTACTTTCAATCTGTCTACCAAAAGTTAACATTCGGAGTTCGAATATGATTGGAGGTGGACAGTCACTTGTCCACGAGGATAAACGCGGCCTATGAGGTCACCAAGAAGAAGTACAAGAAGAAAATAAACTGTAATAAATGAGAATGAAAAGACTGCTAAGTAGAAGAATGTGGAAAGCTGAACACATGCTAGAAAACACTGTAGAGCCCGTTCTTATTTCTCTGAACTCCAATGATTATAGTTCATGTGACTGCTCGCACGAACTGCATGCTGACTAACATTTAGTGGATTTTTTTAATATAATGTTAATCTTATTTATCCTACTTAATGAACTCTCTCATTGCAAATTTACATTTTCTTACGCTTTCGCATTAAGAAAATAGGTATCAATCGTAGTAAAAAGTTCGCAAGCCATTTCGACTTTTTTCGACATATTTACGTTATTATCATGATTTTCACTATTTGATTTTTAATTCATTCAACTTTTATATCTTATTTATTAATAAGTATTTTAAATACTTAATACTTAAATAATAAAATACTTAATAAACATTAGTTTACCTTAACACCATTTTTTAGCAACTCCTTCACATAAGCCAAACCAATACCCGATGCTCCTCCCGTTACCAGAGCATATTTTCCTTTAATTTCAAAAGTCATTTTTTTCAAATCCACAACCGAACAACCCGACGAGGTGACTGACCGAACTCAACTCTGCCGGTGTATTTATGCTTGATATACCGGCCGGCAATTTATCCAGAACGTTGTCGATTCGCATCAGAATATTTATACACTGTCTGGTACGTAGTTCATAGTCCACATTGCCTTTTTCCGCGGTTTAACGATAAGCAGAGTGTGTGACAACAGCGCCCATTTGTCACGTTTATTCTCACATGACCTTGAAATGATAAATGAAGAGTAAACAACGCGCAGTCGTGGATCACCGATGTCGTAGCTTGGTATCAGAAGTAGATTGCCAATCCATAAATGATAATATAAAGATATTATGGGTAAGGTGAACACCAAAATGTAAAAACGCATTCTTGTGTTTTCAAGTTTTTTTTTTTCTCGTTGAAATTCAAAAATGATTTATTTTCATTTAGCCAAAAGTCGGATATTATCAAAATTAAAACAAAACAAATTAACACGTGTACAGGGGGTCATACAGGGAACTTAAATCGTGCAAAAGAAGTAAAATAAAAACACTGAGAATATTCACAAATGCGTAGATACCGGGTGACACAAGAAAGCGGGAACACTCTATAACTTTTAAACGGCTTGAAATAACGATTTGAAATTTGGAAGGGTTAATATAGGATGAATGTCCATTTTTTTGGCAATATGTTGTCAATGGTTGCACTTCTAAATACTAAATACTATTTATCGGGTCGGCTGATCATGGGAAAATTTGTAAATGATAATTTTCTTAATTGTTTAATGGCAAATAGTAATGAACTATTATTTCTTTAGGATAATCTAGTTTTTTCAAATAGCATCCTAGTGGGAACAAAAACTTTTTAAAACCGGTACTTTTTTTTGCAACATTTTAACACCACAATTTTCAAAATCCGTTAAAGGGTAAAAGCTCACCGGAAGGAAAAAACCACATAAGTAAATACATTTTTATAATAAATAACAAATTATTACTTAGGTGGCTTTGCTTCTATTCATCATTAAGTCGGCAGTTGAAAATTCTGACAGTTTGTAGCTTTTTATCTGGCTATCGAAAAAAATTATCAATTTACAAATGGAGAAAAAGTTGATACATTTCTGATATGCCGGAAATGCAGAAAAAACTCCTGACAGGCCCGTGCATTGATGCAGCCCGCTATGCGGGACATCGCTTTCCTGCATATTCCTTCTTTAGAAAGCTGGAAAATGAGAAATCCATAAAATAATCGACATTGATATAATGTTTTGTGTCAATGTCAAACTTGTCTTACAGTAACACACGTTGATATGCCACCTTCTGTTCTTTTGTTCTTCTAAGTTTTCCATAAAAAGTGCTTGTAGTTTACGTATACCTATAATACTTACGTTAATTTTTGACTGTATCCTCGTATACCAAAAGCATATCAACTTTTTAACATAATAAAACACTTTCAACAAAAAATTCTAATTATAAAAATGGATTTACTTATCTGGTTTTTTCCTTCCCGTGAGCTTATTCTTTAACGGATTTTGAAAATGTTGATGTCAAAATGTTGCAAAAAAAGTAACTATTTTAAAAAATTTTGTTCCCACTAGAGTGCTATTTGAAAAAACTAGATCATCCTAAAAAATTAATTTCATTACATTAAACGCTATTTGCCATTAGACAAGTAAAGAAAACTTTCATTTACAACTTTTCCCATGATCAGGTGACCCGGTAAATAATATTTATGATGGTCACAGCCTCCTAGACACAATTTTCAAAAATTAAATAAAAAATTAAAAAAACAAAAATATGACATTTGCATTGCATTCGAGCAAATGATTATAATAAAGTTATATACGAATAACGATTGGGCCACAGTGGACACTTTATGACTAGGAATTTTCTTATAAAAATAAGGTAATAAATAAATATTCAATTGTTTACATGGGTTTGAATTTTTAAGTAACAGTTAAAAATAAGAAGACTTCAGCTATTACAAAAGAAGTAAAGAAGTTTAGAAAACATTGTTCGAAAGAAGTTGCACTTTTCCGAGCAGCGAGCTTTTTTTTACTTAACCGTTCGCCGAGGGAAAATATCCCAAACGCTCGATTAGTTACTAACCAAAACTATTTTACGTCATTAGATAGTGAAATAAGGGTCCAACAACCCAATAAAATCAGAATCTCGATATCTTCATCCTAACCTAAAATATGATTAGAAGAAATTAACCATCAAAAAAGTTGTATTTTAAAAAGAACTTGTGCTTTAAGGGTTGTTATTAATATCTAACTTATTATTTAGGATGCCAAATTATATTTAAAATCAAAATATATATATTTTTTTTGTCCTACCTCTTTTATAATTTGTTTGGTTCGCAAAAAATTACCCAGTACATTAATACGTTTTCGGTCAATTTATTATCACTTATTTTTTCACTAACCAAAACTAATCAATTGCTGAACACTAGCAAATATAATTAATATAAGTAATTAGTAGTTAGTAAAACTGTATTGAAATAATCAGTCTTTTTCTTCGTTCCTAAGGTGTCAATCTCTAGGCGCTGGATCACGAAGAATTTCATGGCAATATATTATTTCTGTCAAAAGAGATATTTTATTCATTTTGAAACGGTTTTCCACATTTTACTACTTAACTACGTAAATAATTAATAAAATTAGTTACTTTCCAACAATCGATTAGTAATCGAGATGTTAATCAGGAATAATTGTTAACGAAAAATAAGTGATAATACCAAATATTTGAAAAAGCAACAAACAGGCTACAGAATAATTTGGTGTGCTTCGAAGGTATTATAAAAAACATACTAAAGATAAATAATAACATATTATTTTGATTTTAAAGATCATTCGGCATCCTCAATAGTAAATTAGAGTTATATTTAGTAAATTCAGAATAATTAGACATTAATAGCAACCTGTTAAGTGAAATTTGTTTTATTCATATTTTAGGTTGGATTTTGGTTTGCATTATGGTGGTGGGTCCTAATGTGACTATCTAATAGCAAAATTGACTGGAAACGCCTTTTATCGACAGAATTGTTTTTTAAATGCGTTACTCTTTTTTGGAGATGTGGACATATGTCTAAGAAAATCTTCCACCCCCGCCACCACCACTTTGCTAGCAGAAAGCAAAGAGCATTAAATAAAAAAGATTCGAATTTGTCTCAGCTTAAAAATAGTACCCACTTTAACTATGGTTAACATTAGAAAGATAACTATTACTGTAATTACAATTAATCTTGAATTTTAACTGAAAAATAATCTCCAACATTTTCTCTTAGCTTTATTTAATAATTTGGTTTTCAAATTTCTAGAATCGCCCGTTTTGTTAATACAATACCTCGTTGCAGTTATTAGGACATCCGGTATATAATAAGCGATTTTTTCTTAAACTTTGACAACCTCTACATTTCAAAACGAACAAACACTTATTTATATAAACTTTTCTTCTTCAATTTGGTACATCAACGAGGCTACGCCCTGTATTTACATATTCATGAGTAAAATTATAAAATTTTTCAAATAATGGTTTTCGTGTTTTTTTTTCGAGCAGTTTGCATTCTCTGGTGTTTGTACATAATAAATTCGATAACGAATCATGCAAACTATATCATGGAATAAAAAGCAACAGAAGGGAGGATATGCATCTGAACATATGCATCTGGCTATTTACATAGATCACCATTTGTGGCAGAATTTTTTGGTTGTGAACGTTATCTAAATATCCATTCCAATTAACGGTGATGTTCACCAATGTGTAAATTATATTTACCAACATTTGCCGAACATGTGTTGATTGTTTAATTAAATTGCATCGCGCTTATCCATTTCGATAGGAGCTGACGATAAAGCAAATTCAAACGGAACGTTTCGAATGGCATCAAAAATTCTGAAATTCAGTTGGTGCAATTTAATACCTCTCCAAATTATGTAGACTTTCATATCAACTATCGCAGTAGAAAATAAAATCTTCTAAGGTAAGTTCATTCGTAGCGAACGAAATTTTGGATCGGTGCCCATTTTTAAATGAAATTATGGCGGCAGTAAGATCGACAGCATATTTAAATAGTTGGGAGCGTATAAAAAATTCCAAAAGGAACTCTACTATTACCTAAAAATCCGCGTAAAAGCGCTAGAAATTCGTTCTGTCAGGGTCGTTGAATCAGTCCTTAAAAAAAGTAGCAAAAGACTTTTTTTGGGCAATGTTAAAAGTGCCTTTTTATCTAATATTTTTAAACTGTCTAAAAAGCTTCTCGCAAGGACGTAAACCTTTGGCCACCGAACCATTTCTTTGAATTTGGAAACATAGAATAACCTCTGAGCGTCAGATCTGGTGAGTACGGTGGATGTTGTAATAATTGAAACTGGCCCTTTCAAGTGTCTGATCACTTCTCGAAATTCACTTATAATTCATATTTATAAACAAATTAAAGATGTTAACTTCAATCGACAACAACAATTATACTAGGAAAACAGTTACTGCAGTCTTTGTGGATTCCTAAGGACTTATTGAACGCATCTTTGCATCTTATCTTGATCACGATTATTAGTTAAATAGCTGCGGTTATCGCATTCCTGCCCTGCTCTAACCGAATATTCATTGATTGATATTCATTCATTGATATTCATTTCTATGCAACTCTACGTATCTCGTAATATTATTTTGTTCAATTTTGCACAATTATAAAAGCACAAATTATTTAAAAAATAAATAAGAACTAAGAGTTTTCACGAAATTATATATATATATATATATATATATATATATATATATATATATATATATATATATATATATATATATATATATATATATATATATGATGACACTATATTCCGGGATATCAACCACCACCAACACACACTAATAGATATCTGAACGGTAAATCTCATCACCACCCATCACAGATACAGGCAGTGGCAAATACATTAATTGCTCGGTCCTTCAGGCTCACAAACGAGAGGAACAGAGAAAAACAGAAAAACACATTTTTAACGACAATTTTGATATTTTAAGTACAGCCACAATAAGTAAAAAATTAAATTTATTGGAAGCCATGGAGATTACCAAAATGAGACATTCAAATGTAATGCTTAACGATCAATTAAATTTAAATACCTTTCCTTTATTGAACTTAAATTCTCACAACATTAATTAACGTTTTATGGTCATTTTTCGGTATATATAGTAGCAGGTAGTTTGTAACTATTACATTTGATAAAGACACGGTGTTGTCGAAACAATTGCCATGTAAAAATATATAATTTCGTGAAAATCTGAACCTTTAGTTCTTATTTATTTTGATAAATGGATTTTCATCAAGTGAAAGCCACCAAACTTCAATTGCACAGTGTTATTCGATATGTTTTTGTCATAAATTTCTTTTGTTCAAGAGACCATGACATCTGAGCACAACTTTTCTTAAAGTAAAGTAGGTCACCCTTTATAATAATTATTTTCTTAGAACTCTAACTTCAACCTTATAAACAACAAACAACAAAAAAAGACTTAACATATTTTTCGTGCAATAAAATACAATATTTTTAAATATGTTATTGTATATGGATGCATGCTTTTCTTGTATTTGACGTTTGCACTGCTAGAACCAGATTTTTTTATAACAATATATTATTCGAAAGGACTTGTTTTCTTGCTTTATTTTGTTAATCAATTTGACGGAGTACAGGTATTTTATGTTAATTTCTGATCGAAATTGTTTTTAAAAATATATCTCTTAAAAACTTAAAAATTAAAATCGGATAATACATTCAGTTAGAAGTTAATATCTTGAAGGATGAACAGATATCTACATTACATAGTTAGTCAAAAATCACATAATTCCCAAATATTTCTCGTTATTGCATGCAATTTTTTAAAAATTTGGTACATCGGAGTTTTTAAAATACCCTTGATCCAACAATTCTGTGGACAGAACTGAATATAGTATTTTTCCCAGAGAAAGAAAAATGTAAGTTTTTATTTAATTTTTAAACAAAAACATATTCTCTTCAATTCAAATCATAAGTTCGGATCTCTAAGAAAGAAAAAACTACAAGGTGATATAAAGCATAATAGGGAACTGTCATTAACACCAGCAATACAAATTCAATTTGCAGTATTATTTGAATGAAGAAATTTACTTTGTTTTTGTGAATTATAATTTAGTTAGAGTATGAGACAGATGCGTTTGTTTCTGAATTTCCAACGTTATTTAAATTTTGGTGGTTCATTCAGAAGTTTTAGCAAATTTTGAACTTCTGTGAAATGTAAAATCTTGCGTTGCGAATTTTTTTTGCGTTTACACATAAAAATTCAGAATTGATTTCAGAATTGCACCAAATCGTATCTAAGGCAACATCCAAATAATCCAGATAAACAAATATTGTTGCTACTTGTTTTTTATGAGTATTTTTAATATCCAGGACACATTTGATTACTTGATTTTTGCTCAGTTTCATATTGTTAATACCCCAGCGTGCATCGCCATTTACGGAAGGACGCGTAATAAAACCATGTTTTTCCATTTATGTCTTTTCTTTTGTTTCAGGTTTTACTGGGACTTGTGCATGCTCCTGTTACTAGTAGCAAATTTAATAATATTACCGGTGGCCATAAGTTTCTTCAACGACGACTTAAGTACCCGCTGGATCGCCTTCAACTGTCTGTCCGATACTATATTTCTAATTGATATCGTAGTCAATTTTCGAACAGGTATGCATCACTCTCTGTTCATCTACATATTCGGATTTATTATTTTTTTATTTTTCAGGGATAATGCAACAAGATAACGCTGAACAAGTAATCTTGGATCCGAAATTAATAGCTCGACACTACCTGAGGACTTGGTTTTTCCTCGACCTCATTTCGTCCATCCCCCTAGATTATATATTTCTTATATTCAATCAGGTAAGAACCCCTTTAATGAAATTTACATAAAATGTATCTTGGAGTAGTTAAATATTCTTTTGAAGAAACTAAATTTTTGAATGAATGCAGCAATTATCCGTAGCATTTTTGGTTTGGTTGGTTGGTTGTTAATAACAACGTACAATATAAACCATATGTAATACCCTTTTGCAAGTGCAAGTACAAAATTACCAGAAAGATAACTAAATATCCTATTTCGCATACAACTGATCAAAATATAAACTTTGCTTTCACCGAAAAAGTTAAATAACGTTAGTTTTTGGATACATTTTCGCAAAACAGCACGAATGCATTCACTGACATGACCGGCAGAATTAACAAACGTCAAAATTAAAATCATGGGAAATATCTCCGAAAACATCCGATTGCTCCCAAATCCGTGCGGTAAAATCCCGGAAATGTCCGAAGTGGCTCGGATTCGTGAGAAAGGAAACTGACGTGGCAAAATGACGCCTCCCGCACGCTAAATCGGTGTGTAATTAGGTATTTTGTTCCCGAAATACTAATTTAAATGTAAAAGTTAAATGAACATCAAAATTTAAAAAAACAACAACCATTTAAGGGTGAAGTTAATATCTAATGTGATCTCCTCTTGCCAAACTGACTCTACCAATAAAGTTAGCAACAAATTCTTGTAGAATGTCATCAAATTCTTAGCGAAATGCAAGTGTGATCAGGAATTTCGAGGAACAGATTTAATATCTGTTGAAAACGACGCCTTAAATGCGAACCTATATATATCGAAGATATTCTTCCGAACACTGTTCCTTGTTTTCACTTTATAGAAAGCAGATTTTTTATTACAAGATAATGCAATAGCGCAAAAGGAATGAATAGTTAACGAATATTTGGACGAAGTGGATACTGGACAAATGGTTTGGCCAGCTTGCAGTCCTGATCTAAATCCAATTGCGCATCTTCATAAATGCATTGGTTGCCGACCTGCTTTATTCGATAGTTTTTCTAATCTGGAAGAATTTTATACCATTGCACGAGCATTTGTTACAATGATAATTGGTGAAATCAGTTTGGCACGAGGACGAGGACGAGGAGAAATTTTAGCCTTAAACTTAAAATGTTTTTATGCTTTAAATCTTTTGGTGTTTATTTGTTGCATTTTCACAGTTTAATGCTATTAATGCTAAGAGAGATAACAAACAAAAAACAAAACACTTTGAAAGGATCATGTTTCAATGTGATTCCAGTTGTTGCATTCTACAGAGTATTCGAAATTTCGGGGAAAAAATTTATCTCACTGTTGCATCCCGTAAATACTCAATTTCAAATCTAACTGAAAATTTCTCACATAGGATCGTTACTCAGGAATCAATCAATCAATCAATTTAAAAAATAAAAATTATCAAAATCGAATGAGCGGTTCACGAGGAAGCCATCTTTAAATTCGGGTCCAGTTTTTAGTGGCCGTTTGCTTGGCAGAAAGTGTAAGTATATTACCCTTACACTTTCCGCCAAACTTTCGCGGTGCAGCAAGTTTTGACATGGCCGTAAGGAAAGTTTTGATTCACCTTCTATATTATTATTAGAATACATTGTAGGTCAATCCTAGAAAGCAAAAATGTTAATTTTTATCGCCCTTCCGATATAAAAATAAAACAATGAAATATTTAGAAAGACAGATACCGTGTTGGGGACCTCCTTAATCGATTTACTGGGTTTAAACTTTTTGAGTGCATTGTCACGTCTTTTCATGAGGGTTTTAACGTTATCAGTTAGCCAAGCTGCCTTAGGTTTTGTTACCCTTTCTTACTTAAGTGGAGCAAATTTCCTTATTCCGAAGAGCAAATCAAGACAAGTAGGTAAAAGAGCCAGAATAAAAAATAATTACATTTTAAAGAATAGTTAATGATTACTATAGAGAGGTAATACGGTATGTTTACTTCTACTATTGTTTTAACCAACCGTGCAGTTATTAGAAAATATAATGGGCCCTATTACGGTAAAAATTGAGGTGGCTATGATATTTTCGTAAAAATGGCAATGATCTTCCGCGCATGCCTCTACATTTCGACATCCACACTTCCCTTTTGACTGAATATTGAATGAGATATGAACATATTTTGAGAAAATACTGCCGTAAGAATGTCGCATTCAAAGTTATTGTTGATCTATCAGCGACCAAGTTCGTTGCTGAATGCCGCAAGGTCATTGGTTAAAAGCAACATTTTAAACGTCGCGCATGCGCATATTGAATGGAACTTCTCAAAATCTTTTTCATAGTTGCTTAATAAGTTCCTATATTAACGGCATAGGCTTTGTCTCTAGTAACAACAAAAATCACAGAAGGCATTCTGTTAAAAATGATCTAAACCTACCTATTCTGTTTCTGGTTGGTCATGCTAGGTTAAAGATTCCTCGAAGTAACAATAATGGCTAACAATCTGTATTCTGTTTCTCCATTTAACACGCTCAAATTTCAGTTTCAGTTAAATCCGATTGCTACGTTAGTAGTCACATTTTTGTGCCTATTTTAGTTATTAGTTGACAGTTTAGAATTTTTTTTGAGTAATTTTGTCGATTTTGTGGTAAACTGACTGCCATTTTACCGAACATTTTACTCACTGACATAAGAAAACAAAGAAAAAAATGACACTGGGCTAAGACGTGGGTTAGCTATTGTAGGTTATGTTCAATGCAATTTGCTGCATTCTTCTTTTTTCCATCAATAACCAATTGGCAATGTCATTAGCAATGTTGATTACAGTCTTGTTTCATATCTATTATTGTTAAGATTAAAGAAACACAATACGATTTTACATACCCGTATTGCCATCGTTTAAAGTCTTAACAACTTCGTTTTTTAACCATGACCATAACAATGTAGAAACAGAATAGATAATTTTCCTTGCATTTGTTACGAAATTGTTTTAGAGATTCCTTATCTATGAGCTGAAAAAGTGAGATTATTGCCATCCTATTATTATTATTATTATTATGCGGGGACGAACACATTGAACACTTGGTCTGCGCTAAACGATCTAAAGATAATTTGGTCTAAAGGTAGTTCGTCTCCTAGACAATTCCATACCTATTCAACACGATTGCTAAGAAAGTGTTACATGACGTATTTTACACATTTTCCTTTTGTTATTTAGGCCTCGGAGGTTGCTGTAAACCCCTCTCCTTTAGGCAAGTTTTTCGATTGTGGTGGAATCTTTTCCAGTAGATCTATGTCCTTAATATAATAAGGATCCACACACTTGGAGCATATTTAATAAATTCGTCTGATGAGCGCCTCTTTTCAGTATACTAAATATGTGTTTATCCCATTTCAGATAGTTTGAGGTAATTACACCGAAATCTTTTTGCTTATTCACCTCAGGCAGCTGTGCGCAATGCTATTTCTACTTCTAAAGTTGATAGGAAACCGAAGTGGGTTTTCTGATCTTTTCTTCCAGCCATTTGTAGATTCTGTAATTGGTCACGTGAAAGTCACATTTCTGTGTTTCCTTTTTCTTGGGTATCATTACAAAGGTTGATCTCAGTCACTCTGTTGCAAATCCCGTATGAAATCCCAAAACTGTATGGTATTAAGACTGGTTTATTTTATGTAAATGCGTCTATGTTTAATAGAATATTGCAAAAGCTTTTGCAGTTCAAAAAGGAAAGAAAATATTTGAATAATAAAATAAATATGTAATTCAAGGAAGATATAGGAAAACTACATAATTCAAAGACTGAACGAATACGGTCGTTTCAAAATAAAGTCGGATACAACGACGCAAAAACAAAACCAACGAAATAACAACGTCGTTCTCATTCGACGAGATGAATCGAAAAAGTGACAACAAAAACGTACTCCGCGGTAGGTCTTTAAATCGCTGTCAAGAAAATGAATTCATATAATTAATTCCCTTCCCCTAAACGAGATAAACTCCGAAGAGCTTGTTTGCTGTGTTTTGGATTTTAGCTCGTTTAAAGTTGCTAATTAATATTTCTTTGTTGAAATAATTAGGGCGACTACTAATGTTTTAATTTGTTTTCTGCGATTTAATGTTTTTTATGCACCGAGCCTACGTCATTAATTTCGAATTGAATAGTATTATCCCAGATTATTAATTAATGTTTTAAGCCTCTACAAGAGATAAATAATCGTCTGCCACCTCAAAACCCCTCAATATATTTTTATTTAACAACTAACAACTTTTGTGTCAGAAATAAAAATCATTTCCTTCTCTCACAAAGAAGGATAACATTAATAAAAATATTAAAGTTGTTCTTTTCTACTTTTTTTTTAATACTCGAAATTAAATAAAGATCTATCTAGCTATCTAAAGAAAAGCGGGGGTGCACTGGCGCCCAAGTCATTATAGGTCGGGAACTTTTCTACTAAATCCAAAAACACGTCCAGTTTGTCTTGTCATCCAACAAATTTGTTATTGAGGGACATTGTAGTAAAAAGTGGGTAGCTCTCTATACATTGCTTTTTAGTTTTTGAAACTCGTTTAGATAATTATATTATATAATTATATAATTACATTGAAATACCAAAATGTTTTACATAGTAGTGTTTTGAAAACTCGAACCTTATTTTAATTTAAAATAACACAATGTAATAAAAAAATTATTTTCATTTGCAAAAAGATATTTTGGTGCTTTTTTCGATTAGGCTTTATTTGTTTTTTTATGATGTTGTATTAGTAATTATTGAAATATAAAGAAAGTTTTTTAACTGAGTGCGCAAATGTCAAAGATATTATTGGCACCCATCGACTTTAGCATAATCCAAAATTAATTTGTCTCTTACACATTTGCCTATGTATAATTAGCAAGAAAAAGAAGAAAACGAAATGCATTACCGAAAATTCAAAAATAAATTTGAAATGAATCAGAATAAATCAAAAAAGAAATGTGTATGGAATGAAACCAGCTTCCATATCCTCGATTAAAAATTAACATCAGATTTTACAAAACGCTTTGTATTATGTTATTGACCCAAATCTAAATCAATATTTTTAATTTATTTTCTTAAAATGATCATTAGTTAATTAAACGGGGATAATTACGCTATAAGGCACAGATTAATATGTCCAAGATACATACAAAGTTTTGTTTTGAATATTTTTAAAATTATTTGTACTATACAGGTTGTCCTAAAAATGTTAAAATCATAAACTTTTTTAATTGGAACTCCCCTGTATACTATATCATTTTTGGATTCTACTACCAAAAATAAATGTATGTTTCAATAACGTCTATAACACTTAAATTTTAAAGTTCTTTAATGCTTTGAATTTTGTCAAAACACACACAACAATTTACAATAATTTTTCAAAATTTACAATTAATTTTGGAAATGTCTACCTTCCATTTCTAGACAGTTGCATATCCTTTTATTGAAATTAATCCTAACTTTGTACAAAAATTGCGAATGGTGGTTGGAAGGGGTTGTAAAGAATTCCTTTTACATATCCCTATAAAAAGCAGTCTAGTTGTGGCAAGTTTGGGATCTGGGAGCCAATTGTGAAACCCATATCTTCCAATGATAATGAGGCGGAGCTCAATCTAGCTGAAGCCACGTCCTTGTTTAAAGGGAGTTCTTTTAATAATGCTAGGAAAAAAACAAAAACAATATACCATCTGGCCAAAAATTTGGTACCAACCACATATGGGCCTATTATTCTACCCTGCACATTAAGGCGTAAATTATGCCAATTCATTAGATGTTGTTAAAAGTACAAATTCACTTCTTCGATAAGTTATATATCATTTCTAAATATTAATAGCAATTAGATGCAATAAAAAAAATATTTAGATAACACCAAAGACCATAATTTCGCATATTCTGCAAAAACCCGAAGAGTGAGCTATAGGATACCCTAGGATTAAAATTGTTTAAGTTGTAACCACTTAAAGATGTTATTAGATTACATGCATTTTTGACTACCCTGTAAAATGTAGAAATTTTTTATGATATAATAGTTTCAATAGTCCTTATGTATTTAAGAAATTTAAATTACTGCAATATACATTATAAAAATCCAGATTTGACAACTTTAACACGTCTCGGACAACCTATAAGGTCATAGTAATTTTAAAACGTAACAATGGACCCTGATTATTATTATTATTTAATATTTACAATTTTTTATTTCACTGAAAAGGTCTGCTTAAAGAATGCAATGTTTTTAATATTGTTATTTACTCCCAAGAAAACAAAATCAATTTTGCAGGTAAATAATATGAAAGATAAAGAGAGACTTCAAACGAAAAATTCATAATTTCGGTGAAATTATAATGAAAAATAGATCCTGCTGTTTTCTGCTACCTTTTTTGCTCACTTTCCAAATTTTAAAAATGGTGATTTATTATTAAGGTGCACACACATAGTGTCACAACTAATTCTCCGGTAACTCAAATTGAACTTTAAAGTATGAATATTTTTCATAATTGTTTAGAAACTTTATGGTTGACCTTAGAAAAATATACTAATGTATCTATGGCGATTCCGGGCAAATACTTATTTTTTAAGCACCCCAAATTTTTCAACTGAAGATTAACGATTCTTCAAATGTCATCCACGAAATCATTGCGTTAAACAATAAGTTTGTATCATTTAAACTAATGGAATAGTAAAACTAGATATTTAATGAACTTATTATTCTTCTTTGGCACTAGAACCCAAGGGTGGCCAACCCGTTGAAAATCTACGTCCAAGTAGGGTAGATGTCTCAAATAATTATTACTATTATAAAAACAACGTTTCGACATATATGTATATATATATATATATATATATATATATATATATATATATATATATATATATATATATATATATATATATATATATATATATATATATATATACACTTCGAACACAGTGTTTTCGGAGCGCGAGCATTGAAGATGCCAAGTGAGATTTTGGCGAAACGTCTGCAGGATTCCAGTCGGATGCAGGATTCCAGTCGGAGTTCAACGAGCGAACGGATGATATCCCGGAGTATAGTGTCATCACATTTTTCCATCCGTGAATCAATACGTGAGAATATATATATATATATATATATATATATATATATATATATATATATATATATATATATATAGAGAGAGAGAGAGAGAGAGAGAGAGAGAGAGAGGAATATTTTATTGATCTATTTATTTCAGTTTTTGAGATAAAAAATAAAAACATTGTTTTTCACGCATTACTAAAATTACTAAGATAAATAAAAAACAAATAAGGTCGAATACCCTGATTATTTTACTTGTGGTTAATTATTATTTAGTACCGCTGTTGTTGTCCATACCAGATCCGTACCTGGAAATGCGGGAACCAAATTTCACATCTTGAACATTAGCGGTCAGTCGGTTTAGTTTACGAACATCCTGTGAATCATCATCTCGCAATTAGTTTCAGGAATATGGCGACAGCTTCCAAATCCTGCACGCTGGCCGCGCGTTGAGGATACTGCGGTTAGCCAAATTACTCTCATTGGTGCGCCTTCTGCGCCTGTCCCGATTGGTGCGTTACGTCAGTCAATGGGAAGAAGTCTACGTAAGTAGATGGCGTTGCCCCGTTTGTTGTATTTATTATTTTTCGGCTTTCACGCAATTACACCCCTCGAGCACTCGCATACGTGACGAAGAGGAGAATTTAACTTCTATTTATACCAGAGTCAATTCATATCAAATCGAATCAAATTAAAGTCACATCATTATTGGGTGTGCCCTTCCGGCCATGTCCGAGTTATTTTTCATTTTTCTAAGTTGGAATTTCCTGCTAATGTATGTGTAGGTACATAGAATTTTTCCAAATAAACACCTGCAATCGCAGTTGGGGAAATTAGAGGACCGTGGAACACTTGTATTACTATAAATATATATAATAGTGTACCAAATTTCAGTTAAACTAATAAAATGAAAAACTCACTGATATCGGAAAATAAACAAAACAACTTTTTTCTGATTTTAAGCTGATGAACACGCCTTTAGTTAGGTCTGCTATTATTGAATCGCCCCGTATAAGTCATTAGAAAAATTAGCCCACTCACCTTGCGTGTTCGCGTGTTAAATTTTTCCTGCGTGACTTTTATGTAATATATAACTGTTTTTAACAGGTCAACAAAATAATAATAATAATGATTGCTGAAAAGGAGGCGAATTGCAATGTTGAAAAAATTTATTGATGGGCAACCCGTCTGGAGTTTTTAAAATGACTGGTAGAATGCGCCGTGTTTTAACTGACCTCCCTCCCCACTTACATTACTTTGCAACATAACCACCTTTTATTAATTCTAACTAAACGATTTTACCGAAATTTAAAAGTAATTAATTATGAATTCATTGTTTTCCAAATATGTTATCTGACAGGCACGCACCTGCTTTAATTTATGTCAATAATGGCGAAAAATTTTGAGGGGCGATTTTGCAAATTAAAATAAGAAAAAAAGTTCATATGAACAAGACCCAAAATATGCCTACTAAAGAGCTACAATCTGTTAAACAAACAAAAATTTAAAAATTTTGAAATTCAATAATTTTTTACATTCTTTATGGTTTTACTGCGCATCTCCCTTATTAATAAAGGTAGGGTGTTTTTTTAGCCATTTTTCAAAAATTGAAAATTTTCTCCAGCCGCTATTAAATGCGTTATTTTTTCAATATTGAATTTAAATATTAAAAACCAAACACATTTATTTCACTTCTCTTGATAATTCTTTAAAATTTCTTGGAGAATTGTAATTCTTTGAGATGGTGGTTAGTTAATACTGATCGGTGTTTGGATTTCACTAACTTTACAGTGGAATAATATGATTACAATAGGTAGGATAGGATCGCCTAAGAGTACGCGTTCCACTAAGAGTTCGTAGCTGTCAAACTGCCACTAAAACATCTACCACATATCCTTCAATCTAGTCTGTAGATTACTTGCCAGCAGGTGACTCCTCAGTGTGTTTTTGTCGGCACTCCCGGAAAGTGTAGTCTTGTGACGGGAAAAAAACTGTTTTAAGCATATTTTTATAATATTTATGTTACCTACACTAAGGTTTACACAACTTGGAGACTGATGAAAGATAGGAAAGTCTTTGCATCACCGCATGATTTTTCTGATTGCAAAGATGTAGAATTAAATTCCAATAAAATTAGTCTCGTAAGAGTACGCATGCGTACTAGATTCAGTGCTTCTTCAAAAGTGGCAGAAAAAAAATTCACTCATAATTTTGCTCAAAGAAATGCTGTTTTCCTTAAGGGCACCAGAACAATGTAGCATTGGGAGAGCCATTGGGTTCAGTCAGGTACAATGTAAACGTTTCTTCGAAAATTTGAAATCCGTTTCCTAAAAAAAAAGCTCCACACGAAAAGTCTTTTGAATGTGCAACAATATATTCGTATAATCCTGACGTCTTTTCCGACGCCGATTTTTCATCTGCTGAAGTTACAAATAAAGAATTTCAAGTGCGTGCTCTTGGGATATCCTACCCTACATTGTTTGGAATATTGAAATAATTAATAATAATAATACTTCCATTCAGAAACAAATCTCCGAAGTTTTGACATACGGAACGTTAATATATGATTTTTAATATAATATCACAAAAGTGAAAAGGAAAAGGATAAAATCGCAGTGGGTCGCGAGAGTCCTGGTTGGCCCCCCCTGGCGTATATCTTGAATTTTATTTTTTTATTAGTAGACTATGGAAAAAAGGTGTTGATTTTTCTAATATACTTTAGTTGTCAAAAATTTATGCTATTTCGTAATTATTATTTTAATATCTCTTGCTTCTGCAATGGCTCAAGTTGACCCAAAATTTGACAGTTATGAGAAACTGGATATAAAAGGCGTATATTATCAATTGACATTTAAAGTTGCACAAACAAAAGGTTATTTTGAAATTATGTAATTTATGTTAAAAATTTTCCGTTTTTCATGGTTTACTCATTAAAAAAAATAAGCGTGAAACATGAAACGCTCATGTCAAGCCGCATGAGATTATTAAAAGGAACACATGGCGTTTCATTACCAAAAAAATAAGTTTTGCATATATATCAAAATTTCTGAGTTTCGTAGGAAAACTGGCTAAGTCGCTGGATCTTACTTAAGGAACTAATCAAAACTAATCGAACTACAAAGGACATCTAATAATTAAACATTTTAAAAATCACCCTGCATCAAAAAATACTATGAACACCTTTCCTGGTCAAAAATCTGTTTAAGTACACAGATTTTCGTAATTTTATGGCTGCTACTATAAAATTAGGGGCAGAAATAATATCTCTTTGTATGCTTCCGTAGTTATATCGACAGGAAAACAACTTTTGAACAAATAAACTCGCCACATTGATTTGTTTAATATGAATTTTCCAAAAAAGTAAAAAATCATTAACAATAATTATCTTGAATAGTAGACCTCCTTGTCACGTATGCGTATTGTTGTTCTCCTCACACTGAATTCTAAATTAAAAAAAATATATTTCATAAAATTTCCTATTTTGGTATAGTATAAAAAAAATTTAGTTCAATTTTATCAACTACAAATAAGTTTACTTACTTACCTCCGATTGAACTAATTTTTGCCTGAGAATCATTTCAGTTTGTCGATAAGCGGTATTTGGGACAGTTTAAAGTATGCGCCATTACAATATAAGAAAGGGTTATTGTTGTAACGGAAATATTTTTGCTATTCTAATTGTGTAAACCTTCTTTTACTTTTCATTTTTAGAATATAATTTTGATCTAGTTTTTTTAATTTGATAATTATGGCTGTAAAAATTAACATCGGGTAAATTAAAATTGTGGGCAATGAAGTTCTAGTTATATCTGATACTTTTAAAAACTTGGCGTCTTTTAAACACAAACGTCATTAGGACAGTTAGAAGTTCAATTAATATATTTACGTTTCTGTAGAAGTCGGCTGCCATATTTGTGAAAATCTAGTTTCAACATCAATATATAGTAAAATTTGTGCTTCCAAAAGCATCAAACTGATATGTTACAAATATTAAAACAAAAACATTTATCGTTTCATTTAATTTTCTTGAGAAAATAAATTCTATTTGCACTGATGTTGCAAATCGTTCTCTAAGCTGAGCCCTTTTCAACGACAACGAAAATCTGTTTAGTCATTTTTGAGTTATTAATATTTATTTTAATATTATATCGAATTCAAGAATGCGATTAAATAAATGGTTAATAATTATCGTAATTTTTAGAACTTTTTAATTTTTATGTTTTGAATTCGTTTTTTCATACGTCGTGACCAATTCGGTCGACACCGTACGGCATAGTTTTTTATTCTTGGTTAAAAAAAAAAAGATTATGCGTTATACGAAATTCTGCAATTTAAAGAAGAACCGTCAGATATAACATTTATTGAGCTGTATAACAGGTTGGTCAAAAAATATGCATTTTATGCTAGAGCAAAATAACTTTATTTTCGAAATTAGATGTGATATCCAATATTATCCATCTAACATTGCTAAGCAAGAATTTATGTGTAGTAGCAATATATGAATAAACCGATATTTGGTTAATTAATTAAAAATATATATATTTTACTCTTGCATAAAATTGATATTTTTGACAAACCGTGTATACGGTTGTATTTAAAGGTTTAGATCATGCAGAATATTTTATAAAAATTTACTTTATCTCTATGCTGTATTATATTAATTAATTTTAACTCAAAATTGTAAGATTGCGTAAAAATAATATTATTAATTCAAAAAACAGATAAGTGTTCTAGAATAAATAAGTTTGAAACTTGTGTTTGACAGATGGCAAATAATTTTTAGAGATCTCATATATCATTTTAATTTTTATGTTTTGACTTATAATTATCAATAAATAAATTTGTTGTTAGTATAGGAAAAAAATTGTATTCGTTTAAAATTTTCGAAAATAAAAAAATTCGCTATTCAAAACAACCCGAATATGACACTTCAAGAAAAAGACCAGGCAAATATAAAAACTCTTGAGAATACATCGAATTGCGACGGGCGACCAGCGGGGTATGAAACGAATTGCGGAAAAGACGCGATTGGACAAGCCGAAGATGGAAAAATATCGTAATAAGTTTTCCCGTAAAGAGGTAAATAGTGTTTACCATATGAATGAAATCTTTCGAAGCCAGGTGCCCCATCGATTTTATTTTTTGCTGTTACTCATTTAAAGAACTCAATCGGCATCAAATTTTGCCACCAACACGCAAAATATTATTTCGACTTCGAATTGATATGTTTAGGCAAGTACGCCAGGCGGGCTCCGCACTGTAAGCGACAATATAATACATGATACCATAGCCCGAGAGGCACCTAGAAAATACCTATGGGAATATACGAAGGAAATATGTAGAAATACTGGGAAATATGGGGAAATGCGAGAATTTATTGAGAAATTAGTGGAAATATGGCAAAATATATACATATAAAAGTATTTTACAAATTTAAATATAATTTCAACTTCTAACCATATACAAGAAATCATTATGGATGGCAAATTACCTTTCAAGATGGCCGATTATACAAAACAATACCTACTAATACAAGTATGCAATA